AATAGATCATATGTACGAGTTCCACGTAATTTAAAATTTAAGGCCCTGTAGGCGCTCAATAGAATAAAGCGACAGAATGAGCCCACCATTTTTTCGGTACTTTTAACAATGGATCAAATAAATGAGTTCCACCTGTGATCTTCAGTAAACATGAGACCCAATTGACATTAAAATCATTGAAACTCATTGAGAATCCAATCTTGGGAATCTCGATGAACGAATCATCTGATCATGAGGTTGGAGGTTTTTTGAAATGTGGAACCATCTCTTAATTGTTGTTGACCTGGGGTGGCAGCACCTGTTAGGGTTCCAGCTATGGGCAAATAGTGAAGCCCCAAAAGAAACAAAAACACTATGAAAGTATAAAAATACATTTTTATAGTAAAAATACCAGCAATACATTTATAATAATATATAATTACCAACAATACTTATTTATAGTAAAATTACCAATGCAAGTTTGAAACAAAATGACTAGCAACACATTTTATATTATGATATACCAACCATAAATTTTATAGTAGAATTATCAGCAATATCTTTTATAGCAAAATAACCAACAATACATTTTATCTGTAGATGAAGGCATACACTTACGTTCCAGATATTTAGATTTCGGCATTAAATAACCCAGAGAGGTTGATATGCCGCTAAACAAAATCAACCAACCAACATTAAAAATGCAACCGTTCATTGTGACAATTTCTGAAAGGTGATGGAGTTAGGTGTTTTTTAAAATGGCAGAAGCTGAAAAATGAGAATTTGTAAGCACCAGTACAGATATAGCAACAGTACTGCATCCTGGGTCTGATTTGTATCTTGTAAAGATAGACCATGACAGCAGGTGTTATGGAGGAACATTTGCCCCTGTGTTTCAATCGTATTACAGGAGTGTTGGGGCACACCCACCTTCTAACTGATAATGGACTGATCCCTCTACGATATAAATCAGTGCTAGAGAGAGTAGTTGTGTAGTGTGAGGGAGCAGGTTACCAATTACATACCGTTGGACTGTAGACTTTTGCTATTGTTACTTACTAACCAGCGTTCCTTATTACTAATCACTCTGTTGTTAATTACCTCTTACAAATATACCAGTAATTATCCATACAACTGTGTTTGTCTTTATTCGAATACACACACGCGGGAACACTCTCAACAACTCAACAAGGAGTGATCTTGAATTATACATCTTCTAAAGCATGTTGGATTTATTCTAAAATAGAAATATATGTTCCATCGATGATCAGATACCTTTTCAAATCACTTGTAAATTTTAATTCCTCCAAAACAAAACTACTTTTATCTAATCACCCTAGAGTACATGTCACTATTTACCAGGAGAACAACACATTGCACTTTCTTGACCTCACGTTTTTTCACTGATTTGAAGTGAGGCGACTACATCGAGTCAATAGTTGCATCTACTGCAAGGACATTTGGGTCATTGTGTCATGATCTTTCTCGTCTGAATTCATCTTGCACCTTTATAAATCAACCGCTTGTCCATTCTTTGAATACTGTTGTAAGATCTGGTCTGGTTCTCCTGCTATTCATTACGAGGTCCTTGGCAAAATCCAAAGAAGGATCCGTAATGTAATCGATCCTGGCTTGACATATCGACTTCAATGACTTCTACAGACGTGACGTGGTTTCCCCCTGTCTTTTCTACAAGTAATTTCATGGCAACTGCTCTAACGAGGTCTTTTTCGTCGAGTCCGACTAAATGAGTTTCAGCGAGCTACTAAATTTGCACTTTTACCCCAACATTTTCTTTTCTCGCACTTGTCGCCTGTGGGACTCGCTACCGTTTACTTGCTTCCATGATAACTACAAGCTTCAAAAAATTAAATGCATCGCCAATCGCTACCTTCTGTCTTTTTAAATCTTTTTTCCTTTTCTCAGTCCTCCCTATACTCAGTCTTTTCTCTCACTTTCGCTCTCTGTAACCCCCTGCATATTAGTGGCATTCCCGCCTTGTTTGGGTGAAGATGATTATATATATATATATATATATATATATATATATATATATATATATATATAGAGAGAGAGAGAGAGAGAGAGAGAGAGGGAGGAGTTTTTTTCTCGCACCTGTAGAATAACCTTCCGTTTAATTAATTCCTTGATAACTACAATCTTCAAAAATTTAAATGCAACATCAATCAATATCTTCTATCTTCTTGAAACCCGTTCATTTTTTGTCCTATTATCCATCCTCCCTATACTCAGTCTTTTCTCTCACTTTCACTCTCTGTAACTCCCTGCTTATTAGTGGTATTCCCGCCTTGTTTAGGGTGAAATGATTATATATATATATATATATATATATATATATATATATATATATATATATATATATATATATATATATATTTATTTAAAATATGATTCCAACACGCTACATAAGAGTTCTCATGTTTCAAAACAAGGGCCGAAAACTTCAATATAATTATTTGAATTAAATTGAATTAAAGTACTAAGCTCTGTTCCATCTTCAAGCGAAATTTTTTTGGAATAACTTATTTCTCTCTCTATATATGGAATAACTTATTTCTATATATATATATATATATATATATATATATATACATACATATATATATATATATATATATATATATAGAGAGAGAGAGAGAGAGAGAGAGAGGTGGAGAGAGGGAGAGTTCTCGCGCTTGTAGAACACCCTTCTATTTATTTGCTTCCCTGATAAATACAATCTTCAAAAATTTAAATGCAACTTGCAATTGCTCTCTTTTGTCTTTTTGAATCCCATCATTTTTGTCCTTTCCTCAATTCTTCCTATTCTCGGTCTTCTCTTTCACTTTCACTTTCACTTTCTGTAACCCGCCCTCACCACTGCGCACTGGTGGCATTCAATACGTGATCTGTCCATGAAGAGCGCAAGTCACATGGTCACTGCGGCCTGAGGTCAGCATTGGTAAATGAGAATCCAATAAATACAGCTGCTGATGATGAATGTTACTGCCGATGATGATGTTGTGGCTTGTATTCATACGGGTGTAACGAGTACAATAAATAAATAATGGAGTCTATTGAGTTATTGACGAGCTTTTGACAGGACATCAATTTAAAAGATAAGAAGTGATAAATAAATATAAAAAAAAAAACAAGAAAAAAATGGAGATATTTTTTTTGCGTTGTATCAAAGTAAGGAGAGTAGAAAACAAGTTTACGCGGGCACGAAATGTTGAATGGAAGAAAATCACAGAAGAAGAAAAAGAAGCACGAAACAAAAAACAAAAAAAAAAAAAAAAAAAAAGAAAAAGAAAAAGAAAATGGTGATAGAAAAAGATTCGGATTTACGATTGGTGGATTTATATGATGAAGATTCTTTGGCGTTAACAACGGAATGTAAAGAAAGTGAATGAAAAGATGCGCAAACGCTGATAGGCATTCAAGTAAAATGTCCGAACGCGCGTGCGCAGAGAAATGATCGCGCTCAAAGAATGCACTCGCGTGTGTTCAGTTTTTCTTTTCTCTCTTTCTCTCTTTCATTCTGTCTTTCTTTCTTCTTTGTACGCCCCGTAGTTCCGAGTAAGGCATTATATAATCACTATAAGCAGATTAAGGACACTTTCTTACACATTAGCGCATACAACCAGACGGAATGAATACTCAAGCGGTTTTTCTTTGCTGCTTGGCATGGCAAATCGTAATCACACGTGCACACACGTACAGCCACTTACGATATACAGGGTGATTGAAAAGTAACTCCCTATTTTATGTATGATTGACCAGCTAGGAGTCCCGACTTAACATCCTGTGAAGTTTTTTTTTTTTAAGTTTTTTTTTTTGGTGGGTGTTTGAAGAAGCAAGATTTTGGAAGAACTTAGGGTGAATACAAGAAGTTATGCCTTCCATACTACAAGAATTCCCGGTGAAATCAGTTGGCGCAATTCCTGTGAGGCTGTAGAAGCTGGTAGCGAAATCTGGTGACCATATCGAATTTTAAATAAAACCTTATGCTAGATGCTTCCTTCTCATATTCATTTCTTGTAATAAATAAATTATAAGTATTTCAAAATGGCGAATTACTTTTTAATAACTCTCACGTGTTCATGTGTGACGTCATGAACCGCAATGCGATATTTTACTCGCTGCGTTTCATATGCACGAATTTATCGTTGCATAGCAATCTTCCATGTAAACAAAACAAACTATCATTGTTGCAATGTCCGCACAACCATTCTAAAACAGAAATTACCACCTTTTTTATATAATTACTTAATTCATTGTAATGTACTTGTAATCTCTGATGATGGCTTACGTAAGCCGAAAGCTTAGCCAGGATTAACAATAAAAACATGTATCAACATAGTGATTTTCTTTCGTGTTTCAGTGATAATGCTAAAAAGCTTATTCGACAATATGAAAGGAATTTACTTAAAATAAATAGACAAAACTTGTCTTTATTATTTAATGAAACATGCATTAATTTTCGTTCCTCTGCTGTGCTACTTTCATTGTTTGAGAGATTTCTACATGTCGCTGATTCATTCATTTTTTTTTTTACAGCTTACCAACGATTTATAGGTTATTTAAAGCCAGGAAATAATTTTAGATTATAAGCAAATTTTTTGAGATAATAATCGTTTCCGAATTCTAGCAGAGTTTTATTACATTAACTTATGTGCAAATACATTTGGGAAATATTTTAATTATTACTCCTAGCTATGGATAAATAGTTAAGCAAACTGTTTTCTACATTCTTGGTGGCAACCAGTCTAGGAGAAGGAAAACTCTTAATTCAAAATTGCATGTAGCCCTGGAAAAGCACATATGAACTAGCTAAAAGAAAGAATCGCTCGCATTGGCTACGGTCGATACAAGTGATACTTATTAACCCATAGCTGGGAGGAGAAGTGGTGGATTCATACCGCGTAAGTAAATATAACCAAACCCAAAATGGAATTGGTACCCGGCTCTCCGATTAAAAATTCCGAGTCATTATCCATTACACTAACCGCAGATTCAAGCTTACAGCACCTGATATTCCCAAGTGGTCACCTATCTAGGCACTGACGAGACTCAACGTCGCTTAACTTCGGTGATTGTACGGGAATCGATGTTTCAACGTGATGCGGTCGTAAGCATGCGCAAGTCGTAAAATAGTATTAGTGTCGTAAATTGTCCTTAGCGAAGATGTAATTAAAGCAGTTCGATATATTTCAATTTTCTTCTTAGTTATTTACGAACTATTGCTCTCATTTTTGTTGTTGTTATATCAAGATTTCGGCCGCTGTGCTCTTCGGCTTGCATCAGGTGTATTTCGATCCTGTTAACGTACCCTCTCTCTCTATATATATAGCGTCCTGGGTAAGACGATAAACTACGTCCAACAGCAAGGCCTCTGATCAGGAGGTTTTGAGGAGCATGGAACCACCTCTTAACTGCTGGTGTTCCCAGGTCCACACTGACCCGGGGTGGTAGCACCTGTTAGGGTCCCAGCTCTGGGCAAACATTTAACCCCTAAACTGGGGTTAAAACATTATGAAAGTGTAAAAACAGGTTGTAATTCAAGAAGTCTTTTTTTGAAAAAAATTATTACCAGCAAATAGATTTTTGAGAAAAAAAATATTACTAGAAATAAAAAATTTTGTCGACATTAAATAACCCCTTGATCTTGATATGCCGCAAAACAAAACAAAACTCTCTCTCTCTCTCTCTCTCTCTCTATATATATATATATATATATATATATATATATTCATACATGTTTCATGAAATAATAGTGTTGTCTATTTATTTTATGTAATTTCTTTTCATAACGTCTATATTATTTAATGAAACATGTATGAATGAAAAAATGCTGCCTAAATGCACACAATATATATATATATATATATATATATATAAATATATAAATAAAACCATCATTAGAACTAACGTACCTTAGACTTTTGCACACATATCTTCCCGATTCTCGAAATATACATATATGGTCTGTTTCGTACTCTGACGTAAACAAAGCTTTCACCTTGGGGACGTAGGTTCGAATACTGACGGAGGAAGCATATCTTTTTAATAAAAAAATAAATAAATATATATATAAACAGACCACTTTAAGGTTCCATTATTTTTAGCAGTTTTTCTTTAAATTATTAGCTCTGAATTATCATTGAGCTCTCAGGATTTCATCCTCCTTGGGACTACCCATACAAATTACCAAGATTTTCATAACTTATATATATATATATATATATATATATATATATAAAGACATTTTTATGTTTAACGTTGTCATTTATAGATACAAGTATTTAAGCAAATGCTCTGTTTATGATAAACAGTATTAAATAACATTTACCGGCCTGAATGTCCGAGAAACTTTCATAGAAAATATTCGTTCTTTGACAGGATTCGAACCTGCATCCTATACGGAACCGTCATATACGCTGACGTGCCTTGACCGCTCGGCCACAAAGAACCTTACGGTAGACAATTTCTTAACATATGACGTCATTTGTTTACATTCGATACGCCAGAGAAGTTATGAATGTACGAGATTGATGGAAGATTGAAGTTTATAAACAGTAAATTCGACCTTGTCTACCGTAAGGTTCTTTGTGGCCGAGAGGTCAAGGCACGTCAGCGTATATGACGGTTCCGTATAGGATGCAGGTTCGAATCCTGTCAAAGAACATGAAAATTTCTCGGACATTCAGGCCGGTAAATGTTATTTAATACTGTTTATCATAAACAGAGCATTTGCTTAAATACTTGTATCTATAAATAACAACGTTAAACATAAAAATGTCTTTAATAAATAAATTGTCGGACCTTGTCCATTTCTTAACATATATAGTCTGTTCTCGTTATACTACCCATGTCTGGTGTAGTTCTTATTTTTAGTCCTGTTTCGTTTGCTCATGGGTAAACTGCACGCCACATACAAGTTTGTGTTTGTTCTTTCTGAACGGCACAATTAATATTCACAAGAAAAATAACGTTATTTAAAAGTTTTCTTTTGTTTCGTTTTTGTTTACTCACATACTTTCTCATACATAACCACATGCATAAACAATGATTAAGTACAATGTTTCTTGAATTTTGTAAACTTACGGTGAATCTAATATTTCATCATTTTAAACCATTGGCGATTTTCACTAAGGAAGATCATACGTGTAAACATCTTTTGCTTTTGAAACAGGAAACGTTCATAATAGTTTTTTTCCGGTGAATAAAATGTTTTTTATTTTTAAATCAATAAATTAGAAAGAGCCGACTGTTGATTACACTGGGATCAATGATAATATTATATTATACCATGACTTCTATTTATTTATTATATAAAAAATGTACTCCCTTTTTAGGCATGACGATAAAGTACATCCGGCAGCAAGACCTCTGATCGGATGGTTTTGTGGTGCATGGAACCACCTCTTAATCGCTGTTGCTCCCAGGTCCACCCTAACCCGGGGTGGTAGCACCTGTTAGTGTTCCAGCTATGGGCAAAGAGTTAACACAAAAACTGCGATCAAAACACTATGGAAGGCTAAAAATACATTTTTATAGTAAAAATACCAGCAATAGATTTTTTAAGTAAAAAAAAAAAAAAAAATTACCGAAGCTCACAAGAAAATTAAATTTTCGTATTAAATGACCCATAAGATGTTGATGTACCGTTAAACAAACCAACCAACCAACCAACCCAAATGTTATAATATTTTCCCCCTATTTCTAAGATACCATGCTTACGCCGAGGCACCTACTGCGAAAAATTACCCTGAATCTTTTTAATAGTGCGGTCCGCCTTGTGATGAGCTTAGATCATGCGATCTATTGGCCGAAAAAGGTTGCCCATGTCAGGCTTACTCATTACCCAGCCCATTTTCATTGAGTCCATGTACATACTACCCGGCCCTGGGAATGAACTCACAATGTCATTTTCTTTTCTTTAAGCTCTAAATATATATAAAAAAAATGCGTTACTATTTTTTCTTTAAGATCTAAATATAAAAATCATGGATATATTTATTACTAGCTTAAAAGCCTCACTACCGGGCGGCATTTAAACTGGCTCCTGTGGAGGGGTCTTAATTGGGCCTTTATCAAATAAATAGGGAGAAGTAGACGCGATAAGCAACAATAAACTACAGAAGAAATCAAAATTGATCGCTGCATTTAAGTACTGCATTAATATTTAAGCTTACCTTTTAAAAGTTCAATAGTAATTCTTCTGTCACCACTTAATTTAAAGACAATTTGATGTACGTAGGTCCTTACTTTCCGTAGAAACAATTATTTTTATTTTATGGGTGACTTTAGCTGAATTTCGCATTTAATTTCGATTATTCCCAAATTTATATTCCAAGTTATGAAAACTATTATCGTACAAAAAAAAAAAATTGTTGCAAAAACTCATGTAAAAAAAATCGCCGAAAACAGTTGCAGTAATGAAGACTTGGGAATGCAAAATTTCAGGTTTGCGGGTTCGGATCTGGCCAGGGATGTTTTTAATTTGCTCACGGAGTCGGCCTGATTCCAAAACGGTATGATATGTCGGGCTACGGCTTCTAGGAGTAAAGGTGAATAAGTGTGACACATTGACACACTGACATTTGCATTTATTTTATAGATTAAACAAAACAAAAATATATTAGATTTATAAATCATATGATCGTACAATTTTTATAAGCAGAATGAAAAAAAAGATAATTGTGTTAAGTGCTGTCTATACTGAAATGTAATGTAATGGCTGACCGCCCGTATCCAGGTATGCCTTTCAACATGGGCGTCAAGTCAATCCCCATGGCAGACACCTGCTCAGGCACATTTATGTGTGTCCCACATCTGGTTTAGACTGAAACTATTGACAGCTTCTAAATAGTTCTGTCGATCCAATTTCACACATAAGGCTTGGGCCAAACCATGGTAATTTTTTTTTTTGACAGGATCACCCCCGCCCCGATAACATCAAACGATCTCAGTGAGATTCGAAACTGGATCTCATGGTCGGAAAGCGAACGTTCTAACCATTTGGCCATATACCGAAATATACATACACGAAATAACGCGCCAATTCCTTTGAATGCTGGAGCAAAAAGAATCGCTACTACTTTGGCCACCAATCAGAATTTTAAAATCAGCCAACAGCGTTTCAAGAAAACTTTTTAAAAAAATAGCAGATTTCCTTAGCAGATCAAAGCATTTTACAGTACTCAAGTAGCCGTTGGTAGCTCTCTCTTTGTCTTTTTCGATTTGGAGAGAACAGAACTGTCTTTTTGTTTGTCCTTATTATTCCAAAATCTAGGCCGATGAATCTATTCTTGCTCGCAAAACCGCGAGCTTAGAAAAGAGATAGAAGATACATCGTGCATATACGCATGGATGGTCAGCTACGCGCATGCGTAGTCACAGATGCGTGGAACGCGCATGCCTGAACACATGGCTGGATATACTCCTTAAATACCATTGTCTATGAAATCAATATCTAGATACAATCCCCTTCTTCACAGAGATGTGAATACGTGTTCCAGTCACAAACCTCCCTTGTATATATTTGAAATACACACCGTCAACGAAAGGTTACTTCTGTATATGCACACCTGTAACTGCGAGCATAAGAAAATAAACGCTTTCTCTTCAATATTCAGCCATGCAAATAAAGTAAGATAGAGAGATTAACATAGATATATCGCTGTTTCATAAGCAACTTTTATCTAAGCTCGATTCTATTTCGTTTATATTCGAGATCTGGTAATGTTGTTTTGTGGGGATAGATTAACAAGACGTCATCAATGTATCGAAGGTATATTGATTTTTTACGTAAATTATTTTGGAATGTCCAGTCTCTATAAAAATTCTAAGAAAAGACAAGCGAAAATGCATCTAAGAGGCGAGCCCTTTGGTAAACCGAAATTTTGCTTATAATAATGAACACTTCACATTTTATAAATTCTGACAACCGGATCGAAAAACTGAAATGGCAGATCTAATTTAGATGATAAAGGTTTATGGCCATAGCACGTTGAAACGAAGTTAAGCAATATCGAGACTACCCAGAGCTTAGATGGGTGACCGCTTGAGAATACCAAGTGCTGTAAGTTTGGATGTGCGGATGGTGGGAAAAAATCTTACAATCTAAGA